TCATTTTTTTCTCTCTTCTTTCTCTGTTCATTGCTGCTTCCTTCTGGCTCTCAGTCCTACTTTCTCAGCTATCAGTGAAATGGCTTTCTTTGAACCCAACTATGCTACAATAGAGCCAGATTCTTTAGACATGACCCACAGAAATCTCTTCACCAGTTTCTGACAAACCTTCACCTGTGACGGTTTCTTCCTTGAACTTCCTCCTTCTGTTGCCACCATCCCAACCCACAGGTTTGCTAAAAATCTTCGGCATGCTTCCTGGAAATACCAACCGCACATTCAGGAACTTCCATCCCCAAACTGTCCTTTCTCAAGCGTCCAGTTCAGGATAGACTCGTCACTGTATGCTAGCTTCCAACCACACTCTTTCCTCCAAAGTTCCTAATTCCGTTACTCATTTGTGTGGTTATTTTTCATTAGCGTCTGTCCCGCAGGAAACCAGAGATTTGTTGGGGGCATAAATACATCAAACACTTTATTGGAGTCACTATGTGCAATATTTTCACTTCCACTATACCATTAACATCATTCGGTCCCTAAATTCATCTTAAAAATTTGTCTCACCAAATCTAGGTATTTCCATTAATTCACTCTGGCTATTTCGATCAGAGGCCTTAAGAACTGAGTTAGGGAAGGGAAAAAAGTAACATTTGTTGAGTGCGTATTCCTTATTATGGACTCAACGTTTAATCATTTCATTTTAGGTGAAGGACATGCCTGTGATGGATGTGTTATATATGCCAGTTGATCTCTAATAAAAAATTAAGGCTCCAGGGCGCCTGGGTGGCTCAGTGGGTTAAAGCCTCTGCCTTCGGCTTGGGTCATGATCTCAGGGTCCTGGGATTGAGCCCCGCATCTGGCTCTCTGCTCCGTGGGGAGCCTGCTTCCCCCTCTCTCTCTGCCTGCCTCTCTGCCTACTTGTGATCTCTCTCTCTGTCAAATAAATAAATAAAATCTTTAAAAAATAAAAAAAATAAAACTGAGGCTCCGAATATATAATTAAGAATGGCCAGTGGGGCGCCTTGGTGGCTCGGTTGGTTAAGCATCTGCCTTAGGCTCAATTCCTGATCCCAGGGTCCTGGGACCAAGCCCTGCTCAGTGGGGAGTCTGCTTCTCCCTCTCCCTCTGCCGCCACCCCTCCCCCAGCTCGTGTTCTCTTCCTCTCAAATAAATAAATAAAATCTTAAAAAGAAATTTTTTTCTTTTTTTCTTTTTTCTTTTTTTTTTTTTAGATTTTATTTATTTATTTGACAGAGAGAGATCACAAGCAGGCAGAGAGGCAGGCAGAGAAAGAGGAGGAAGCAGGCTCCCTGCTGAGCAGAGAGCCCGATGCGGGGCTCGATCCCAGGACCCTGAGATCATGACCCGAGCCGAAGGCAGCGGCTTAACACACTGAGCCACCCAGGCGCCCCAAAAAGAAATTTTTTTTAAGAAGAATGGCTGGAACTTGGATTCTGTCTCATTCCAAAGCTGTTTTTCTACTGCTTACAACACCTTCCCAAAGGCTCGTAGCCACAGGCCACCATTGACTGAGTAGCCGTAATCCTTTCCCTCCCACTCCTTTTCACGGAGAACTGGATATAGTCAAGCTTTTGTGGAGATGATGGGAAGAAAATGCATTTGCAAATAACTAAGCATGAAGTAAGAACAATGAAGTAAGAACAACAAGGTGGCAAATTGTTTGAAAACTCTCAATACTATCACCAACCTAGTTTCAGATTTTGTTACGAATTAACTCTAGGCCCCTGAAGTAAGTGATCCTTAATATTATTATTCTCTCATTATTATTAATTGGTCCATAATTTTTTTTAAATGCATTTGCATTATTTAAAGTTTGGAGGATTTCAGTTTACACGAACCTGTTTGGACCACTTGTCAAGGTCTGCGTCTCCCAAGTTCTGCTGAGAAATAATGCAACTGCAATTACAGGCATCTCATATTCTGTAAACAGTTTGAGTTCCAAGAGTTCACCAGTTAGTTGTTTGGAATCACTGCATATTTTCCCATTACCTAATCTAGTAATGGGTGGTTATTTCCCAAGCTGGCATTTCCTTTTTCTCTCCTCCCACCTCCACCCCCAACCCCCAAAACAACAACAAAAGAAGGAAAAGCCTGTTTCAACCAAGGTGAACAACAACACTAAATTTTATTGGCCCGAGTTCTAGAGAATGTTGGGAAAGGGGCTTTATAATTTAATAAGGGACCACAATTCTGTAGTAAAGTTTGAATTCACACAAAGAAATGCCACCCCTGTCTGGGAGGGTGATATTCATCAGCACCTCAAAGCTTTTTCTACTTTCTAGAATCTTTTCTTTCTACATTTTTGACTCACTGTTTCTCCAGTGACAACACTTGAATGAGGGAAAAAGATAGCAGGCTCACCGTGTGAAGCCCCACCTATGCCATACCTCTTAAAATCAACAGTGAGTCTCAGAATGGTACCACCTTAACGTTCCTTCTCTTATCCAAGCAACAAAATTCCTTAGAAGTGATGTTGTTCTTATCTCATTTTTGTCTACACCTAATTCCATTAATGAAAGTACTTTTATAGAATATGCAACATTTTTGAAGTGATTGCACAATTTTAAAAACTTCATCTTCATTACTACCTTTGAGAGTATGACATCTTTTGTCACTATTTCAACTTTATGGACAAAAAAGTGAGAATTTGAGATATTAGAGTTGACAGAGTCTTCACAAGCTAAAATGACTGTAATCTAAGCCTTCTGCACCCCAAATTGAGGGCTCTCTCTCATATTTTTTACTACTTAGTGATTTTCATTCACCCTTCTAGGTTCAAAACTCCATGAGAAAAGGGATTGTTTTTTACTGTTTTATCCTTATCCCCCAGGACACTATCTGGCACTTAGTAGGTACCCCCAAAATGTTGAATAAATGAATTTTAATTATTGTTATCTTAATTATCTTAGCAATAATGTAATATATTTTATTGGTTAAAAGGGACTTTTCAAATTGTCTTCACATTATAAGATGAGTTGTCAGGACCCCCAATCTGCTGTTTTACCTGCTGATATTAGCAACCAGCCCTGTCAGAAATAGGAGGAAATGTCACAGAAGAGGTAATGGCTTCATATTATTCTTCCCCATGTTTCCTACTTAAAAACAAAACAAAACAAAACAAAACATAAAAATGGTTCTCAAACTTGATAGGAAATTATTCAGCTACCCAATAACAAAAAAGTAAAAACAGTCCCAAATGTCAGAACATAACCCCTGAAGCCTGTGGCTCAGTAAGAAAAGGCTATGAAGAATTATCTTCTGGAATTAGTGACTTGACTCAAAAATGTAGCTAGTTCCTACATTGCCCATTGATCCCTTATACTGTCTTCACATAATCATCTAAAAAATAAAGTCATATTGAACACAGCCTATAATTATCCCTACTTGGGGATAGAATAGGAAGACCTTATGTTTCCATCTACTTTTTCAGGCACTAACTATTGAGGACAAAACCAAGGTTGACTGTCATCCCAAAGGCCATTTACAGGTGAAGGGTGCAGAGCTCGGGGAGGGAAAAGGAAAAGAAAGGAAAGAGAAAGGAAAAGAAAAGAATGCAATAATAAAAAAGAAAAAAAAAATGCTTTGCAATAGCTGTGTTTTCTTTCCTTCGTACGAAATGGTCTTAGCCCCGCACATAGCCTTATGCTTTTAGTGCTAACTAATGTTCATCAAGCAGCCCATATAAGGCTAAGTGCTTCCCAAGCATGACACCATTGGAGTCAACCCTCTACAAAATTCTATAATACAACTGTTAGTATCCTGGAGCAATCCAGAAGTAGTACTTGTCTATGTAAACATAAATTGAAATTACCTTAGCTAGGACTTGAAGGGGGTTCTCTCCCATCTAGAGATGCTCTCCTTCATCCTTATATTGTATTATGTTCCTGACCACGGGACCATGGCGGGCTACAACTAAATTGGTAATCCTTGCTTGGGCCTTGGTTGCCACCTTTCTCATCTGAATCCTATACAACAACTTATTTGTAGTCAATGGGTATCACGATGTGAACCACCAAGCCCTGAGAACAGTGTGCAGAGTAGGAACCATAACGGGGGAACCTTGGGGTAGGGGAAGGGCGCAGAGAATTCTGAAATAGCAAGTAGCTATGGTGTGAGTCTTGTTTCCACTAAAACTGTTTTCAAAGAAGTGATTCCGTGTATTACAACCCCAACCTCTGCCACCCCTTACCTCACTGGTACCACACCACGGCTCCCCGTTAGGGATGGGTACAGAATTCAGATCTTGGTTGCCACCACCCCAAAGCAGATAGCCAGAGAAGGAATCTGAGCACCATTCAGCCACCCCTCCAGCTCCCAAATCATCTCACAGCCTTAGTAAAAGAGAGGAAAGAGATTTACCTGCTGCTATTGAGGCTGAAGCCTGAAAGTCATGTATAACTTTGAAGGACTGTAATGGTTTTAATCACAGGAATAGCATCTTTTTGACAGGCGGGACAGAGAAAAGAGCTTAACCACTCTGCAAATATTAACCAGGCTATTTTGGAGCAATGGCTATTGCCTCTGAAATCTTTCATCATGGGTCTATACTTAGAATTCAGATGAGCATGGGGGAGGAGAACGGAGCAGTGTAAATTCCCAGTTGTTTTGAAGTTGCCCAGTAAACAGGTTAGCACCTAAACTGTCTTAAATGGAAGCATTCAACGTTTTATTTAAATTGTAGGATTCTCCCTGGAGTATTTTTTTTTTAACCTGTTCTGCACACAGATTGTCCTGTCGTCCTGGTGGTGACACTTCTCAGTTTTCTTTCAAACCAGATATTCCGGAGAGCACTGGCTGTGATCACATTGGGAGACTGATGCTCCATGACAGCTAAAAGTTGGATTGAGTTTCAGGAGCTACTATATATAAAGCTGGGGCGACTTATGTCACCGCACTAATTAAATGCCATCTGGGTGGTTCCTCTGGGTTTTTGAGCCCATCACCCAGTTCAGACCGAGTCAGAGGCCAAGGAGGAGAACATGATGATGGACCTTTTTGAAACTGGTTCCTATTTCTTCTACTTGGACGGGGAAAATGTTACTCTGCAGCCATTAGAAGTGGCCGAGGGCTCTCCTTTGTACCCAGGGAGTGATGGTACCTTGTCCCCCTGCCAGGACCAAATGCCCCCGGAAGCTGGGAGCGACAGCAGCGGAGAGGAGCACGTCCTGGCGCCCCCGGGCCTGCAGCCCCCCCACTGCCCGGGCCAATGTCTGATCTGGGCTTGCAAGACCTGCAAGAGAAAATCGGCCCCCACGGACCGGCGGAAAGCTGCCACCCTGCGCGAGAGGAGGCGACTAAAGAAAATCAACGAGGCCTTCGAGGCACTGAAGCGGCGGACTGTGGCCAACCCCAACCAGAGGCTGCCCAAGGTGGAGATTCTGCGGAGTGCCATCAGCTACATCGAGCGGCTGCAGGACCTGCTCCATCAGTTGGATCAGCAGGAAAAAATGCAGGAGCTAGGGGTGGACCCCTTCAGCTACAGACCCAAGCAAGAGAATGTAAGCCCAGATGCTGCTGGGGCAGGGGAATGCGCCGGCTGATTAGACGCTTTCCTCGGGGCCTTAACCTCCAGCTGCTCCGTCTCCCTTCCCAGTCCCCTTCCTCGCCCGCCCCTCCCGCTCCCTCTCCAGTGAACCCCCAGTGACCCGTGAACTCGGGGTGCCTGCAGTAGGCAGGAAATTTGTCCCCAGCCCGAGGAAGTAGGGGAAACACCCCCACAGAGCCTCCCCACTCCCTCCCCGGAACCGAGGTTTCTTTCCTAATCTGCGGCCTTGGTTTTTCTCCAGCTTGAGGGTGCGGATTTCCTGCGCACCTGCAGCTCCCAGTGGCCAAGTGTTTCGGATCATTCCAGGGGGCTCGTGATAACTGCCAAGGAAGGTAAAGTAAAAGGGCACTGGGCCGTGCTGGAGAATATCCCGGGAGGGGGCCTGGGGTGGAAGGGAAGAAAGGGCTCGCAGGGAAGGCGGGGACGCGCGGGGCCGGGGTCCTCCCGTGGGGCCCGGAGCTGCCTCCTACTTCCTTGCCCGGGGATGCTGTGCTTGAGTGTTTTTTCTTTTTCTGAGCTCAGGAGGGGCAAGCATCGATTCGTCAGCCTCGAGTAGCCTTCGATGCCTGTCTTCCATCGTGGACAGTATTTCCTCCGAGGAACGCAAACTGCCCTGCGTGGAAGAGGTGGTGGAGAAGTAGCTCGCGGCCGGAGTGTGGGATGTCCTCCACGGCGCAGGAAGACCCCCACCCTCCCTCCTTCGCCTAATCCTGGAGCCTGGGTCACATTACATTAACATTTAGGAACGCAGACCAAGGAGTTTATGAAAGGGAAGGAGACCTGTTCACAAAGAAACTTCTCAGAAACTGTTGTGCACGCTCAGATGAAAAAGCCTTTCGGCTTTGGGCTTTTACTTCTGGAACCGCGAGTAGCTTAGCCCTAGCAGCCTTACTCTGTGTTTGTGTGGTTAGTTGTGTAACCTCTTCCTTTGATTCCGGGGATCCCTTTGTGCCATGTTCAAAAGAAGTTCATTCCTGTCTGAAGCCAAGTGGGAACGTTGCCTCTAAATGTTAGTGGTATTGAATGTATTTTTGTAAATAATCTTAGTACTTTCATTTTTTATGTAAACCTAAGAAATATTATTTTAAATGTGGAGTGACGGATTGCATATAAAATGTGCGAGGATCCTGATATTGTAATATTAAAAAATAAGTTTCTTTATGGACAAAGTTGGTCCTAATTTGATTCATCTGAAAAAATATGTTTGGGCGCAGGTGCACATAAATAAAGAGGAGCCGTATTTTACCGAAGACGCCACACAAGCCCATTTATTTGGGTGTGTTCTTAAAGGCTGACTGTAAGGGAAGAAGATTAGTTGTTTTCCTGGGTCTGAATTAAATTGTTCACTTTCTATCTCATATAGACCTCACACTTGGGGTTAAGAATGAAGAATTATCCAGGAGGAAATCTGCCCTTTTCTCTTTTATCAGCATCCTTTTTTATGTTTTCACCGTCCTCTACCTGGAGATCTGGGCAAGATTTACTTACCCAGAGTTAACAACTGAATTTTCAGTCCAGTAAAAATCTCACTATTGCAAGAGAAAGCCACACAAAAACTTGTATCCGCCTAAAAATCTCTTCAGCTAATTGAGCCCAAATTACTCTCCCTGTTTGACTTTTCAGGCCGGGCCCTTCTCGAAGAAGCCTTCGCGGGAGGACCCAGGGGCTGCACGGGCCTCCCAGCCTGGTCGTTGGCCCTTGCCTAGTTTTCTTGAACTAGACCAGTTAAAAGACGGGAATATCCTCCAGGCCTCGGGGGCTGGAGTTTGTTTTGCAAATAGAAAGATAAAAGAAGGGAACAATTTGTCTCTGGAGGTTGGGGGGGGGGGCTTCTTTGAAGGACAGGTTGCTTCAAGAGAGGGAAGGGTTAAATGGCTGAAGGCAAAAGACAACAACAACACACATGAAACCTCTTAGCTGGACCAAATAGCAAAGCCCCCAGAGAAGCTTGAAGCCGCAGGAGCTCCTCACGGCCAGGATTTTACAACGTGTGCCAGGTTTGTTTATCCTGTAACTTCAGGAAGGAACGACCACCAAGAATCGCAGTGGGAAGTGAAGCGGGGGAGAGGGCCAGCCATTTCTCTAGAATCGCTACTTCTCGCTTACGTTCTGCAAACGGCACCTTCCCTCCAACACCCCTCCCCACCCTTGACTTCTTCCTCCCTCTTTTTCCCCACAGCTGGTCCTCAGTTTACAAATGTGAAAATCAAACCGAATTCGCTATTTCCCAGCCCAACAGTCTGGACGTTCCTGTTGCACACCACGCAAGTTCCAGATACCACCACAGACAGCGCCCCCTGCAGGCACGGAACAGTATCGTGCCCCTTATCTGTCTCTAAAGGCCTCATGCTGGAGTAAAAGTTACTCTGCCTTCCCAGAACTCGGATAATTCTCGTTTCTTCTAGCAGGTTTATACAGTGCTGAAAGGTTCATAGAGAAAACCGACATTGAAATATAATCTCTCTCAGAGATTTGAGAAAAGCAGGCGGGAATGTGAGGGGCTGAAAAGGGCTGAGTTGCTGTGCGCATTGCCTACCTGGATTGAATCCAGGGTTGCTCCTGTGTAGCCTTGGGCTATCCCAGCTCCTCTCTTCTTCCGGGTTCCTCATTTATAAAATAATAGACAACAATAATGGTGCTTAACTCAGGAGTGTGAAGATTTCAGTGAGATAAAGCACATAAAGGATTTAGCCAAAGCAGAACCCCAAACACTAAATGTGGGCTCTCTTTATTTTTCATCAGTAAATCTACTTTGACCACCAAATGTTTTCTTCCACCAAAAACCACAGTCCCTTCAAATACAGTCTGCCTTGCAAGTGCTATTTGGGAAAAGTATTAATAACAATGAAATCAGTAGTAATATGAATGACTCGTTCTTAGCACTTTACATATTCACTCAGAATCCTACAACTGCTTGTGTGAGAGAAACTGGTTACTTCTTCGGAGAAAAGGTTTCTTTGGAAGGAAGAGTTTCTTGGATTTGTAAGTAAAGAGCCAGGGCTTGGAGCAAGTAAATACCAGTGGTTTCCAGCCCCTTGGCCCAACCGCCTGTGGCCTGAAAGAGAAGCCTTTGGCAAATAAGAAAGAACATTTATGGTCTAGAACAGTTTGGCTCTCATCAGCAATTATTTTCCAAATGTTCTTTCGCAAGAGTGATTAGCTAGCCAACTCCAAATTAGGGCAGTAGTTTAATTAAAGATAAAGTGTAGAGCATTTCAGATTATCCAATCAGAATGTGTATATGAATCTAAGTGTGTCTGGGTGGTGTGTATGTCCATTCATCATGCTTATTATGTATCTATGATTTTTTTCTTGAGAATCAGTAGAGAATTTCCCTAAAATGTGTGTGTATATGTATGTATGTATGTGTATATGTGTATATATATGTATATATATGTATGCTATATGTATACACATTACATATTATATATAGTATATATATAAAATAAGATATAGGTATATACGTGTGCCACAGATTCATGCCACAACTGAAATCAAATGTCATAAGTAACCAGGTGAATTAATTTACGTTATAATTGCACATGTATTTATAATAAGATCTGTACTATAAACTATTTAGCAGCAGAATGTTTATCAATTCATGGACTTTATTTGCTTGATGGATTTTATTCAGTCTTTACAAAGCAAATCTTCTCTATCTCCCCTAGCTAGGTAACTTGAGAAATTGTTTGGAGTAAGTTTGCCTATAGAGGTCTCTTCATTAAATAGAGCAAATATTTCCCAAAGACTTCATGTGACCTCCACTGCTATAGTTGACATATTAGGTTTTCCAATGAAATCCTTGGTGTGTTTGCAATTAAAATGTTTTTACTTGATATTAATGATGATAATCTCTACTAAGGCCAAAGGCAAAACAAACAGGGCCATGGAAGCAGAAAATCAAGATATAATAACTTGGTAAAGATAAGCAATTTGGGATTTAAACTGAGTCTCTTTCCCAAAGTAGCCATAAAGTTACCAAATATTTTTAAAAATGAGTTATTTTCTTTTTGTATATTGCTATACAAATAATTTATGAAATATCAAATGCCAGCTTTTTCAAACTAACTTTAATCATCACACCTGAATCATTGAATTCCAACCCTAAAAATAATGGAAATTCATTTATGTCTAATGGATGGAGATAGATACAGATGATATAGATATAGATATATCAGACTCCTTCCTGTGTGTGGGGAATGGGAGCATGGTGCTGAAATTCAATGTTCTCAACTACTGTTGAGACTGCCAGAGGAGTCTTGGGTTGCTAAACTGAACTCTGTCCTTACTAAGATATTTTTGACTCAAAGTTAGAATATAGCTGTTCATGCTTTTCTCTTAGTAAGCAATATTTTATATCTTTTATTTATCTCAAAATTCTCCAAGAAAGATATATTTAAATATAGTTAAGTTTGAACTTTTGAATATCTCATTTCCTACTCTAATGCATCAGTAAGTTAGGAATGACATAGTGCTTCCTTAAAGAGCCAAGCCTTCAAGACATTTCTCTAACAGACCCCTCCAGTCACTCCCTTACCCTCAAAAGCAGTGTTATAAAAAGATGACTCTCAGCCCTAAAGGTTTCATTCTGAAAAGGACATTTTTTGCAAGCCTAGTTCAGAGTCAACCTGGCTTCTGAGTTCAGAATGGCTATGCCATGTGCTGAAACAAAGATAATGCTGCAAGGACTGGCTCCTTTCTCTACTCTCAAGGCTGCTCAAAGTCCCTCCATGGGCCTTTGATCTCTCCTGGGAGTCTTCGAATCCAAGCAGAGGCCAATGTCTTCCTCAGCTGTCTTCTCCACAAATTCTTCCAGCAGCTTTGGCAGGTACTAATGTGTTTACTTAGGTGTGCCTGGTTCCCAGAGTTAATAGCAGTTTGAAATTGTTTAGCACATTGTGAAGTCATATACGATAAGCAAAAAATCTCTAGAACAGCTCCCTTTGTCCAGGAGTTGATAAGGGTCTCAGATAGAGGCAGAAGCAATTGAAATGGACTCATCTTTCTATGTGTATTTGGTTTCTCCCACTGAGAGAATCACAGAAAATTTGGAATAATGCAGAATTCCTAGGGTAGGCAAAATTTACTAGGAAAGGGAGCTCTGAGCATCATATCGCTGGTGGAGTCTGTCCATCAACACTAGGATTGTTGCCATAATTCTTAAATTAAAATAGGTTCTCAAAAAAAAAAAAAAAAGGTTGGTGATTACTTAAAGGTCTATGCAGTTCAAACCTGTTAAATCTAAACTGTAAGAAAGTCAAACATGCATTTATTTTCCTTCAAAATGTTAAGTGTAAAAAATATTTTAATTATTGATATACTCCATGAAAACATTGGGTGGCATTCATTTATAACACCAAGCATGGCTTACTGTCTTCCCTTCATCTGCCTACTGTAAGGCTTTCCTATAGTTAGTGTTGGAATGTCATTTCTAACAACGTGGTTGCATATTAAATACGTAGGAGTTTCCTCTGCACGTAGGAAATTCACTTCTCAAGAAAGAGTGAACCACTGCTTGTATTTTTATTCTTTTGGATGAGGAACAAAAGTCAGTCTAGTCTGATTTTAAGTAAGAGCACCCAAATAATCAGGAGATGTCTCTCTCTCTCTCTCTCTCTCTCTCTCTTTTTTAGTGATTTTCAACTTTTTTCATT